CAAGTGTCTGCTCTAGACCACACTTGAAAGTTGACTCTGGTTAATGTTTGATTGATGAAGATTAAGCCACCCAAAAGGTGGCACGGGCATGAATAGCCCGTAAGTGGTGGCCCATTTGAGCCATTACCAGTATCAATAGATGATACGGGATATCTGTGGAGGTGCGACTGCACCCTGCGTGACGGGAGATGTCTCCCGTGGGTTAATGTTTGCTATTCTGCTGCTTATATGCTCGGGCAACACCTCACCGTGTTGCCCGGGCAACGCCTCACCTCATTCGTCTCCAAAGGTTGACAGGAATATTAACAATGCATTTGGAGCGAGTATATTATTGGGATAATCTACTCGCTACAGATTTGTTGAACAGTAGGGCTATGGGTGGCGCAAGGGCATGGGAGGCGCTCTTGTATGCAATGGACGGAATTTTAATTTTCTTAAACCTATACTATTTGCTGACGAATTTTAATTATCTTAAACCTATACTATTTGCTGACGATACTACCTTCATATATTCTGACCCCAACCCCCACACACTAAATAATATTGTCAAGTACATTTACATCGCTTCAGGCTTGGATACCCATGTGCATGGGAAATAGGCTTACAGGTTCCGGAAGATGAGAGGAAATGTCAGCACTGTGGAGAAATGCCCGACAGACCACTGGAACATTATCTAACACAGTGCACAGTTACAAACCCATTAAGATTCAACAGAGCAGAAGAAGTTGTTAAACAAATATGGCAAAATCTTACTGAAGCGACCTTACGAATCATAAATACTCATACTCCTCCCAAGTAAAACAGAAACAAGCAACACTTAGTGGGCCAGCCAGAGGCTTATAGTGCCCGCGCAGGAATATCCCTGAAAAAAAAATAAAAAAAAGTGAATTGAAAAAAAGGCCACTCGTGGATTCGTGGACATCAACCAACGAACTTACACTAAACATAGAAAAGACCTTCTATATTTTATTTAGTAGTAAATCATCAAATCAGATTCAACTTCAGATAGGCAATGTTAACAATACCAATAAAAATGAAGGGAAGTTTCTTGGCTTGTACATAGACAAGTGACTGAACTTCAGCACCCACATACAACACATAGATACATTTTTTTTATGTATACAAGAGTTCTTACATTCTTGTACAGCCTCTAGCAAGCATAGCGTTTCGGGCAGGTCCTTAATCATACAACATGCAACTCCATACCTCTATGATACAGAGCTGCCTATAAGTCTCGTAAAGCCATTTAAGTGAGCAAGACCAGTTTAAACGTTAGTAAACTATTAATTTACTGATTGTAGTGCTCAAGAATTGTTAGCTTATACATGACTTGTTAACCGACCAACCAACTACAGTGTCCCCTTCGGGAGAGCCAGTGAACAGTTCAAGGAGCATATACAGTATCTTACAGTTAAGTGAACTAGTGTGTACTGTGTTGTTTAAGTTGAATTTGATAATGGAATAATCATACTATTAATGCAACGAACAATATAAAAAAATATGAACATAAATAAATATTTTGGGTGAGTATCCCCCATAGTGGGGGTGTAAACAGCTGATTATTGTATACATTGTCTCACAACAAGAGACGGGTAAACGCCTCTGCCAACATCTGTACTGGTGCAGTCATCGGGAGGACAAACCCTTCGTGCAAACTGCACCTACTATCAAGAAGAAGAAGAACGAGCCAGGGGACAAGTATTTGTACTAGTGCAGTCATCGGGAGGTTAAACCTTCATGCAAACTCCACCTACTATCAAGAAGAAGACTAGTATCTCAGCAGGGATGGCGGTTACCAAACCAACTATCTATTTTTACAACTGAATTACATGCCTTATACCAAACTCTCCAAGTACTAGCAACATTACCAGTTGGGATATATATACAATCTGTAGTGACTCCAAGAGTACGATTCAAGCAATTACGTACTCTTCCATAACGTGCAGAGTTTGTTTACCCATGCCTTCAACTTCATGTACATCGATTGAACAGTTATGACATCTCTATCCAATGGGTCCCTATACTCCATAATGAACTTGTAGATCAGCTGGCCAAAGCGTTGCATAACACGCCATATATTATCCATCGTCCAATTCCTCATGTTGCACGTAAAGGAGCCTTCAAAGATACCATCACCCAAGATTTGATAATGAAATGGAAAATGCCATGCTCATCTTTGTACTATGGGTTCATTAAAAAGAAATGGGAAACTTGGAAACATGTCAGATATAAAAGCAGCAAAATTGATGTAACGATGACCAGATTAAGGCTGGCAACTCCATACCTCTATGATACAGAGCTGCCTATAAGTCTCGTAAAGCCATTTAAGTGAGCAAGACCAGTTTAAACGTTAGTAAACTATTAATTTACTGATTGTAGTGCTCAAGAATTGTTAGCTTATACATGACTTGTTAACCGACCAACCAACTACAGTGTCCCCTTCGGGAGAGCCAGTGAACAGTTCAAGGAGCATATACAGTATCTTACAGTTAAGTGAACTAGTGTGTACTGTGTTGTTTAAGTTGAATTTGATAATGGAATAATCATACTATTAATGCAACGAACAATATAAAAAAATATGAACATAAATAAATATTTTGGGTGAGTATCCCCCATAGTGGGGGTGTAAACAGCTGATTATTGTATACATTGTCTCACAACAAGAGACGGGTAAACGCCTCTGCCAACATCTGTACTGGTGCAGTCATCGGGAGGACAAACCCTTCGTGCAAACTGCACCTACTATCAAGAAGAAGAAGAACGAGCCAGGGGACAAGTATTTGTACTAGTGCAGTCATCGGGAGGTTAAACCTTCATGCAAACTGCACCTACTATCAAGAAGAAGACTAGTATCTCAGCAGGGATGGCGGTTACCAAACCAACTATCTATTTTTACAACTGAATTACATGCCTTATACCAAACTCTCCAAGTACTAGCAACATTACCAGTTGGGATATATATACAATCTGTAGTGACTCCAAGAGTACGATTCAAGCAATTACGTACTCTTCCATAACGTGCAGAGTTTGTTTACCCATGCCTTCAACTTCATGTACATCGATTGAACAGTTATGACATCTCTATCCAATGGGTCCCTATACTCCATAATGAACTTGTAGATCAGCTGGCCAAAGCGTTGCATAACACGCCATATATTATCCATCGTCCAATTCCTCATGTTGCACGTAAAGGAGCCTTCAAAGATACCATCACCCAAGATTTGATAATGAAATGGAAAATGCCATGCTCATCTTTGTACTATGGGTTCATTAAAAAGAAATGGGAAACTTGGAAACATGTCAGATATAAAAGCAGCAAAATTGATGTAACGATGACCAGATTAAGGCTGGGACACACCAAACTGGCAGCACACGTCTCTAAATACAGAACAGACATCAAAGAACTCTGCATCCACTGTCAGGTGCCAGAAACAATCGCACACTATCTCCTTCACTTTTTCCGACCATAATGCCAGAGTAAACTTCAAACAAGTACTGGTTCAATGTGGCCATTGTCACTGCAGTAAGGCCCAGGTCAAAATAACTACCTGTAATCAAATTTACTGCAACACTTGCAACGACAAACTTATGAAACGTTGGAGTAGCTTTGAAAATAATGCTGAAGCAATTGATGAGAATGACGATGAAATACCTGATGAAAAATAAAAAGAAGCAAGTTTTGTGAATAAAGAAGGATCTATTGATTGTTGAGGAAGTAATCAATGAGAATAGGGATGCAATAATGAAGGAACTGATTGAAGGTCATAAGGCATTGAAAGAGTTGCAGGAGGAATGGAAGGCTTTGATGAAACAATTTGTAAACCTTAAACATTAGAAAATACACATATAGGCAGGCTTCCCGAGGCCAACCAGGTAAATCTGGGGAAAATCGGACATTGGGGGACCTTAGAGACTGCAGGGCTGTAGTAGATATGTGGGCCTTCGGGCAGCTCCAAGCAACAGCCTGTTGGACCAAGCTCTATCATGTCAAACATGGCCCCTAGCTGGGCTTGGGAAATAGAACTCCCAGAACCCCACCAAGGTAAAGGTGACAGGCGGGGCAGAGCAAGGGTCAACAGAGGGGGATGTCGATAAGATTAACACTATGGATTCAGAATTTAGTACAGGTACTGTATTTCTGAAGAAGATTCCACAGAAGTAAGGAGCCTGGAGTCCCATTTCAGAAATATTGTGTCATATGACTGCCTGATAAACTTAACTTGTAGTAGGTAGAGTTAATTTAAAAGGGGAGGAAGTTAATTTTACTATTTTATTAAGACCTGATGCTAAGAGATGTATCTAGGTTATTCTTGTCAACATTCTCAAAGGCAGAGTTTGAATATGTTACAAGAAGTAAGTAAATACCTGGCAATACATCCCTGGTAATACAAATTCCTGGCAATACATCCGGCAGCGCACTTCCACAGGAAGTTTGCTGCTGGATGTATTGCCAGGGATGAGGTGAAGGTGAAGCACCTCACTTATGGGCCAATAGTCACATTGAAGCTTACTAATCTCCTACATTTCTATGACGGATAGAGCAATACAGTGTATGTTTCATTGTGTTTTTGAAAATGGTAGTTCGTAATTTTATGTTATTTAGCTGTTTATAGTTGGCTTGGTTTGCTTGATGAATAATGTCTGTTCTTAGGCTTATCATCATTAACATCTTCCCCCCCCCCCCCAGGACAACTGCATATCCTTCTCCAGAATACAACCCAAACAGTTGTCCAACTCCCAGGTATCTATGTTACTGTTAGTGTTAGGTGAACAGACACATCAGAAGAATGGAAATGTGCCAACTGTTTCTGTTCTACCTAGGCATTGAACCTTGACTGTGAGCCCAAGATGTAGGCCATTGTGTTACAGGACTCATAGTATAAGCACCAGTCATTGGGGTACCTTTGTGTGTTGTCTAATGTGCTTGGTGCTATCACAAAAGTTTGTTAATACTTAGAATGCTCTAATTGCTATTTGTGTTCTAAATGTGTTCTCCACAGGCAATGTGCAGATCTTCCACGATGGTCGGTGGGGAAACATATGTGATGACGAATGGGATGACCGAGAGGGGGAAATAGTGTGCAGGTCCCTGGGCTTTCCTGGCCTCAAGAAAGTCACCTACAGTGGTGTCTACGGCCATGTCAAAGGTCAGCTCCCAGTATTTATAAAGAAGTTATAAATGTTAGTAGTAGTAAAAATAATTATAATAATGGTAGCCTAATTATGATACTAATAATATTAAGTAATGGTAATGTCTTTATCACAGACATAACAACATAGGATAAAATACCCACAATGATGTATTTGTGTATTTCATGCAAACATTTTAAACTACACCAAGTCTTTCACACTCCTGAGTGCATTATATAGGTCTGAGAATATAGTTTGGATGGGACATGTATCTTGATAACTAATACGGTTATTTATTTATTTGTTTAATTGTAAAAAGAGCATTGATAACTAAATGAATCCTTTAGAGAAGGTATAAGTCCATGCTGAACATCATTGATTGTGAGATACATAAAACGGCACTAAGCCACCCAGGAAATCAGATTAGCCAAAAGAAACTACAAAAGAAAACTTGCCCAGAACAAAGAAAAAACCTACCGTAAGTCATTCCATGCCTACATCAGAAGTAAAACCAAAACAGAGGACTTGGTAGGACCCTTAAATGAGACTAACCAAATTATAATGGATGATAAAAGGGCAGCATGCATACCGAATGAATACTTAACATCAGTGTTCGCACTAGAAGGCTTAGATGACATCGCATCCCCTACACAAATTTCTTTTTCTTCTAACTTCTTCTACTTGGTAAACTTCTAACGTGGATGAAAAATTTTCTGACTGATAGAAAAATGAGGGCAGTAATCAGAGGCAATGTATTAAACTGGAGAAACATCACAAGTGGAGTACCACAGGGTTCAGTTCTTGCACCGGTGATGGTCATTGTCTACATAAATGATCTACCAGATGGAATACAGAATTATATGAACATGTTTGTTGATGATGCTAAGATAATAGGAAGGATAAGAAACTTAGATGATTGTCATGCCATTCAAGAAGACTTGGACAAAATAAGTATATGGAGCACCACTTTGGCAAATGGAACTTAATGTGAATAAATGCCATGTTATGGAATGTGGAATAGGAGAACATAGACCCCTCACAACCTATAAATTATGTGAGAAATCTTTAAAGAATTCTGATAAATAATGAGATCTAGGGGTGGTTCTAGATAGAAAACTATCACCTGAGGGGCCACATAAAGAATGTTGTGCGAGGAGCCTATGCTACGCTTTCTAACTTTAGAATTGCTTTTAAATACATGGATGGCGATATACTAAAGAAATTGTTCATGACTTTTGTTAGGCCAAAGCTAGAATATGCAGTGGTCGTGTGATGCCCATATCTTAAGAAGCACATCAACAAACTGGAAAAGGTGCAAAGACATGCTACTAAGTGGTTCCCAGAACTGAAGGGCAAGAGCTACGAGGAGAGGTTAGAGGCATTAAATATGCCAAAACTAGAAGACAGAAGAAAAAGAGATGATATGATCACTACTTACAAAATAGTAACAGGAATTGACAAAATTGATAGGGAAGATTTCCTGAGACCTGGAACTTCAAGAACAAGAGGTCATAGATTTAAACTAATTATAGAAAGATGCCGAAGAAATATAAGAAAACTCACTTTCCCAAACAGGGTGGTAGATGGTTGGAACAAGTTAAGTGAGAAGGTGGTGGAGGCCAAAACCGTCAGTAGTTTCAAAGCATTATATGACAAAGAGTACTGGGAAGACGGGACACCACGAGCGTAGCTCTCATCCTTTAACTACACTTATGTAATTATACTTAGGTAATTACAAATGTTTGAAGGCAGTGAAGAGAATAAATTAAGTGATATCCAGTACAGTTCCCATTACGTGTGACAATCAGGAAGAGCATTGACAAACTAAAAGACTCAAAAGCCCCAGGTGTAATTACCTAATTGTAGTTACAGAATGAGAGCTATTTTTATGATATCTCATCTTCCCAGCACTCTGTCTTATAATTATTTGAAACTACTGACAGTTTTGGCTTTCACCATCTCACTTAAATTGTTCCAACCGTCTACCACTCTGTGAAAGTGAATTTTTTTATATTTGATTGGCAGCTTTGTTTAGTTAGTTTAAATCTATGACCTCTTGTTCTTGAAGTTCCAGGTCATGTAGATGGAATTCAATCCAAAGTCATTGTAGCAATTATATTAAACATAATATAATTGTAGCAATTATATTAAACATAATATAATTGTAGCAATTATATTAAACATAATATAATTGTAGCAATTATATTAAACATAATATAATTGTAGCAATTATATTAAACATAATATAATTGCTCTAAATTCTCAGAAGTTTCAGTGCAGATTGTGACGGGTTGAGGTATCGCAGCTATACTGAACCAAGATGGTATGTCTCTCCCTCACACAAATAAAAAAGAGTGCTGCTATTGGCCTTGCAGTGTGTAAGTCTCAGGTGGAAACAAATGAAAATCATCCAATAAATAATTAAAACAATTTACTGAAATATTAATGAACAAAAATGACACATGAGAATACTTGGCTATTATATAATAAATCAAATAAGTAAATGAAAGTTTAACTCTAATACGAAGCATAAAGATATACTGGTGTAATGAAGACAGCTACCATACCACTATGGCATCAGTCACACGGTGTTGGCTGAAGGCAGACGACGGGGGAGAGAGACCATGGTGATCCTAGAGCAGTAAGAGAGAGACTGGCTCTCCAGGATTGATTGATTGATGAAGATTAAGCCACCCAAAAGGTGGCACGGGCATGAATAGCCCATAGTGGTGGCCCTTTTGAGCCATTACTAATATCAAGAGCTGTTACTGGAGATCTGTGGAGGTGCGACTGCACCCTGCCTAACGGGAGATGTCTCCCATGTGGCTCTCCAGGGTTGTTGTTGTTGTTTAAGATTCTCTACTTGGAACAAAAAGTTCCAAGTAACACGGGCTATGGTGAGCCCATAGACTCTCCAGGGAAGTGGTGTCCTTTATATAGTCCGACGGTGATGACTCATCCGGTGTCAACGCAAGATGGACATCTGGTCAACTAGCAAACTGCTCATTTGTGGCTGGTGGTGCCTTTGCGTTGAGCTGCACCACTGCCAGTTGAAGGTTGCTAACTGCTTGTTTGTGGGGGCAAACTACTGGTTAGCAGAGGCGCCCGGCTTGCCTTTGAGTCGTACCAGACCGTGCCAGGCCCTGGGGGGTACGGAGAGGTGGCAGGACTGATGACTCATCTGGGCTGGTGTAGATGTAGACTTCCAGTAATTACCTAAGTGTAATTACCTAAGTGTAGTTACAGGATGAGAGCTACGCTCGTGGTGTCCCGTCTTCCCAGCACTCTTTGTCATATAACGCTTTGAAACTACTGACGGTCTTGGCCTCCACCACCTTCTCACTTAACTTGTTCCAACCGTCTACCACTCTATTTGCGAAGGTGAATTTTCTTATATTTCTTCGGCATCTGTGTTTAGCTAGTTTAAATCTATGACCTCTTGTTCTTGAAATTCCAGGTCTCAGGAAGTCTTCCCTGTCGATTTTATCAATTCCTGTTACTATTTTGTATGTAGTGATCATATCACCTCTTTTTCTTCTGTCTTCTAGTTTTGGCATATTTAATGCTTCTAACCTCTCCTCGTAGCTCTTGCCCTTCAGTTCTGGGAGCCACTTAGTAGCATGTCTTTGCACCTTTTCCAGTTTGTTGATGTACTTCTTAAGATATGGGCACCACACAACAGCTGCATATTCTAGCTTTGGCCTAACAAAAGTCATGAACAATTTCTTTAGTATATCGCCATCCATGTATTTAAATGCAATTCTGAAGTTAGAAAGCATAGCATAGGCTCCTTGCACAATATTCTTTATGTGGTCCTCAGGTGATAGTTTTCTATCTAGAACCACTCCTAGATCTCTTTCTTTATCAGAATTCTTTAAAGATTTCTCACATAATATATAGGTTGTGTGGGGTCTATGTTCTCCTATTCCACATTCCATAACATGACATTTATTAACATTAAATTCCATTTGCCAAGTGGTGCTCCATATACTTATTTTGTCCAGGTCTTCTTGAAGGGCATGACAGTCATCTAAATTTCTTATCCTTCCTATTATCTTAGCATCATCAGCAAACATGTTCATATAATTCTGTATACCAACTGGTAGATCATTTATGTACACAATAAACATCACTGTGCAGTAAAATAAACAAACAGTGCAGAGGCATTGAAGGTGACGAGAAAAGGCAGTTCCACTGCTATGCAGGGGATTCACGTGACAAGATAATTAGATGTGCCTGTTAATTCCACATAACCTATCCCTAAGAATTCCACATTCCAAGAAGTTCTACACTAATCCTATATGCACTAATTGCAGTTAATATCCCATACCCTCCCCAAGGGTATGGGATCAATCAGGATAGCTCACAGGTAACCTGGAAAGATGTTGGTCAGCTTGGCAAAGTGAGGAGACATTTGTAATACTGTATAAGCCTCAAGAACGGAAGAGTCGTCAGTTTGAGTCTAACTCAAATAGTGGATCAGTACAGATGCCCGAGAGATATCATAAATCTTCAATACCAATTGAGATTCACCAGCACAATGTAACACTCGTCGAATCTAGTTCCTACTCTCACAAGATCCTCTTTACAGAGGAACCTCACATCCTCTTCACAGAGCAGAGCCTTAACTTTTCTGCTACTAAGTCATAGATTCCTCACGATGGTAGCTGGGGGTCCTCTGGTAGCCGATCGGTCCTTCGTTGATCAGATCGGCATGTACAGGATCCCTAGGTGATTCGTAGCTCGCGTCGTTGCCGTACAAATTCCCCTAGGCAGGGGAGGCACAACTAGGAGAGCTCACTAACATATGTCTGTGCTCGAATGCGGCTGGAGAAGCTCTGAGCTCCTCGGCGCTTGACACGGCAGGCGTCCGCTGCCCTACTGACATCACACCCTATGGCTCTGCCCCCATTGGTCAACTCCATCACGTGACCAACACCGACCAATCGCCAGGCAGCTGGCGTCCTCGCCCCCTTGATGGAAACGCCCCCTTGAGCCCCGGAGGCTACCTGGAGCTTATTGGACTAATGTATGTTATATTAGACCGGGACATTAGCTAAGGAGTTCAGACCTTCCAGGGACCAGCGCCAGAACCTGGCCCCTTTAGAGAGGTTTCAGGGAGCAATGACCCCGGAAAACCCCCTTGTGGTTGGGGTTTTCCTTATCTGCCAACGACCGGGGTTTGCACCCAGGAAGGTAGGCATAACAAAACATGTGTTGGTGACGTCTAGGGCTCATTTCGGGCGCAGGGATTTAAGGGTCGCACAGGTTCTTGGCCGCCCATTCTTTATGCGCGTCTGCTCCTGTGCATTCTTGTTGCCTTGGGTCGCAGGTTGCAGCCTGTTGTTCAGCTTGGCGTTGCGGAGTTTGTGGCAGCCGCTTCCCGGGTCACCCCTTTTTTTTCCTTCTCTTTGGGTATGAAGTTCCAGGGAGCCGTAGGGGCTCCCCACAGAAAACCAGTGTTAATGTAATGAAACGCCATTTTCTGGGTGAGCCCCAGAGGCTCCCTGGTAACCCTCCCTCCCACTGGTCGGCGTTTTTTTCGCGTTGGTTGAAGCTTAGCTTCCGAACTGATGCTAGGCAGCCGGCACGGTAGGTCCGGGGCTCCCCCCTCCCCCTCTCGGGGCGGGGAGGGCTGCGAGGACAATCGGCGCGGCAGTAAAGTGTGATGTTTGCTCGTTTGCTTATTTCATTGGGATTGTAGGGAGTTTCTACCTCTTTGTTCGTTTTTTTGTTTTAGTTTTTTACCATGTAGGGTTTGTTTTGTTATGCCTACCTTTCTGAGTGCAAACCCCAGTTGATGGCAGATAAGGAAAACCCCAACCACAAGGGGGTTTTCCAGGGCCATTGCTCCCTGAAACCTCTCTGAAGGGGCCAGGTTCTGGCGCTGGTCCCTGGTAGGTCTGAACTCCTTAGCTAATGTCCCGGTCTAATATAACATACATTAGCCCGATAAGCTCCAGGGAGCCGTAGGGGCTCCCCACAGAAAATGGTAATGAAAACAAAGTGTACACCTTAGTAGATATGATGGATCAGCAGAAGAGATACTTCTCATTAAAACTGAAAAATTCAAGGTGGAAACTTTTCCTCCCTATTCTGGACACACTAATCTTAAAACTGACAAAACGTGCAGAGGCTTATTCACAGATGGGAAGTCTGTGTTCTTTCATCAGTGAATTGAAAACTATTGCTTCTGATGCACAAAAGAAAAAGTGTGCACATCTGGTTAATATGAATCACAAAGACCTGAATTATGATGGCCTTTTAAATCTTGAGCACTATATGGCTCTTGATGAAAATTGTGAGACTCCCTGTACTGTACAGAAAACTAATTTTGGACAATTTGAAATCTGTATTCCCGAATGTTGAAATTGCATCCAATGTGTTCATGTTCATCATGGTGACCAACTGTACTGGAGAACGTTCTTTTTCAAGACTGAAATTTATAAAAAAATCTGCTTCGTAGCACAATGGGGCAGCATCACTTGAACTGGCTTTCACTCATGTGCATGGAAAATGACATCCTGAAGACCATTGACTTCAAGCCAATAATAGCACAATTATCTGAAAATAAATGCCACAAATGCTTGTTATAATAAGAAGTTCGTAGTAATTTTTTATACTATGTCATCTAATATGTAGCTTACTAAGTATTATTGTGTTTTTCAAGCCTTGTGTAGTGTTCAAATGTTTATCATGTTGATTAGTTGCTGCTCTACAGTATGTTTTTAATGTTTTAACACCAGTTTTGTTGAAGCACCAATTAAATAAATATGTTTAATATTATCGACCATTTACTTTTTATTCCTGTAATTGGTTGTGGTAGGGGCCCCAGCACACTGGTTTGCCCTGGGGCCCATAATGCTGTTATGGGGCCCAGGGCATATCGCGTGTCTTATGAATATGCCCAAAATGGTCTTAGAGCAGTCACTCTGAGTACAGTATTATCAGATATTATAGTTCCACAAAACTAAACCTATAAAGAACATGTTGATTATATAAATGTAGCACCTTTGAAATCACCCACCTCAAAGTATTCCATTACACTAAATTCCTTGCTCATTCCCACAGAGAGGTTCTGGATGGACAATCTCTTCTGCGTTGGCACAGAGAAGAACTTGACTGAATGTAAGTTTGATGGATGGGGTGTCCACGACTGTCAGAACAGTGAAGCAGCAGGTGTAGTGTGCAAATCACACTTTGCCACCACCACCGGCCCACCCACACTGCCTCCCAGGGACCAGCCCATCATTGTCAACAAGACAAAGTTGGTGGTGAGTAAATGAGTCCACACCCCCTAAGTGTCATGCTAATGGTACATCTTTCACTTATTCGTACTCGCTCGTACTGTGTTTCAATGGTATTATTCTGTTCAGGATGAGCCAGTGTCTTTGGTGTTTGCTGTGAGTAAGTTATAATGTTCATTTATTGCTGTTGATGGGTTTCCATTTTTTTATGAGAGGTTCCTTCAGCATTGGCTGTACATTGCTTAGAGGGGTTGGTAGCTCTGGGATAACCAGTTAGCAGTACCTCGTTTGGGCTTCCCTTAGCAGTCAGCTTAAGGGCCCTGGAAACCACCTTGGGGGCTCAGTGGTCCGATGGAAGAGACCTCAGAGTCCCATCTCGCCTTGTGCGAGTTTGAAGGTTGCTCTGTCCCCTTGACTCAGGGTGACACTCACCATCTTTGCCTCCGCCATGCTGCTTGTTGGGTCAATGACACCTTTGACCCGGAGTCCTGCGAATGGTGTTTTTTGTTTGTACTCCAATCCAATCCAATGAGATTGATATTTGGGTGCCAGCAGCTTCGGCGTTGCATGCAAGGTTTAGGTTGCTGCAACGTGCAACCTAAACCTTTAGTTGCTGCAACGCGCAACCTAAACCTTTGGTTGCTGCAACGCGCAACCTAAACCTTTGGTTGCTGCAACGCGCAACCTAAACCTTTGGTTGCTTTGCCTTTGTTGGTTGCCTTTCCGGATGCCCCGCAGCTGCCCCACTTTGGTTATAGGGACCCGGACTTGGGGGTGTTAGTCGTCTCAACTTTGGTTTCATCTGCACCTCCTAGTCCTTCCCCTGCTGTGGTTCATCCTGCTCCCCCCCCCCTCCCTGCTCCCGGCTCCCAAACGTCTGAGGGTTTCAGAGTCGGGGGCAGGGTTTACCTGGTGGTGAGTCTCGGGCGACTTCGGGAAATGCCCCTTCCGGATCGGCGGTGGAGGCATTCGAGCCTATTCTCCTGCTGGAGCCTTTGGGCCGTGCCAGTGGGCCACCTTCATCTCGGCTTTTTCAGCGGACTCTGCCTTTTCTCCAGAGGCAGAGTGTTTGGAGGACAGCTCGGCCCCGGGTTCTCACGTGGAGGTTCCCGGGGCTGGCGAAGAGTTGACTTGGGGAGTTTGGGCCCCGTTTGACCCCACTTGGGTGTTGGTACTCTCGGCGTGGGGCTTGTTGTTACAGGGGGAGGGGTTTTCCTAATCCCCCTCCCTGTACGAGTTTGATATGGGTGCAACTCCTCCCTGGGTTCGGTTCCGGGATGCTTTGGGTTCCTCAGTTCCCTCCTTCCAGAGGTTTTCGGCTTCCCGCATCCCACCTAGGGAGGTCCGGGAGTCCATTGCAGCTTACCTCCTGCACGACCCGGATTACGCCTCGATAATGGATCCTTCGTCTTTTGAGTTTGGCTCCTCTTTTCCTTACTGGGTGTGTTACGAGGTGCTGGAGTCTACCTGGCTGGCAGACTGCCCTTTCTTTTCTTTGGGGGCTTGGCATGCGTTCTGTTGGATCTGCATGCTTGAATAGCAGGAGTTAACTACGGTTGTTCAGGTTTACCTTGGGGGAAAGTTTGAGCACCTTAATGTGTGCTTGTTCGCCCCTGTGCTTCCTTGTGATATTGACCAGGTGCAGCTTCACGTGCAGGTTCCCTCCCATTCGTCGTCTCTGGTAGTCGAGAATTTGTGTGGCTTTGGGCATTTGGCTTCGGTCTTGCGCTTCTTTTACCTGCTGGAGCTGTTTTCGGACTGGCTCCAGGAGGATGTGGAGGAACTGGGTTCTTGGCTGGTGTCCGGTGCGCTTGCCTCGGCAGCTCGGGCGTCTGCTGCCTTGTTGAAGTTGTTTGCACCGATTCTGAAGGAAGCGGTGTCTCTGTTCTTTGCTTCTCGCCTCGCGTGTCGACAGGCAGTGCTCGTCCACTCTTTGGAATCTGCTTGGGCCCTGGCTCTTAGATTTTCGTCCCCTTTTTGTCTGTTGCTGTTTGCAGAGTCTGCAGTGGTGCATTTTCTGCAGGCGACTTTGTCTAGTTGCCGGCCTATGTCGGACTTGTTGGTTCTCCAGGGGGAGAGGGGGGGCTGTACCCAGAAGGGTCGTGCCAGGGCTTGGGGTTCCTTTGGTCTTCATAAGCCAGTGGTGCCAGATTCGGGGCCAGCCCCTCCTGCAGAGCCTGTCGGCGTCTGGTCGATGCAGTGATCGCTCTGAACATTGGTCAGGCTCTCGTAAGGGTCGTCAGCCCTTTCGCAGTTCACCCCGTTGACGGGGCGATGGGGGGGGAGGCTCGCGCTGTTTGCTCTCGCCTGGTCTCACGATTCATGGGCGTTTCGGATCGTTTCCTCAGGCTTGCAGTGCCGATCCTCCTCCTTCAGGGGGATCGGGGCTGACAGGGCAGGCCTCTGCCCCTGCACTCTGTCGGGTCATCCTGGAGTGAGTTTGCTTGGGTGTGTTCGAAACGACACTGTCCGTCAGGTGGATTTCCCGCCTGTTTCCAGGTCTGAAACGGGACTATGCAGACCTGTGGTTCATTCTAGACGTGTCCCATTGAACCCCCTAGGTCTTTTGCCCCTTCTTTCGGATGACTACTCTGTCCCAGGTTCGGCTGTTTTTGGAGCTAGGCGCTTGGATGGTGTTCCTGGACCTCAGGGATGCATATTTGGCACATCTTGATTCATCTGGGTTTTAGGGACTGGCTCAGTTTTGTCGTGGAGCGACAGGCTTACCGCTTTCGTTGCCTTCCATTCGGCTTGAATCTGGCACCTCGCGTGTTCACACGCCTTACCCGGGTCGTGGTGACTCGTTTGTGTCTGTTAGGTGTTCGGGTTTTGGCTTACCTCGACGACAAGCTGGTCTGGGCTTCCAGCAAGTCCTCGTGTCTGCTCGCCAGAGATTTGATTCTTTCCCAGCTCGCCGGGTTTGGGTTCTTTGTGAAATGGAGGTTATCCCATTTAGTTCTCTCAGGTTCGTACTTGGCTGGGGTCTTGTGTGGGACTCTCGGACCACTTCCTTGTGTCTCCCTCCAGCGGTGTTGCTGCAGTTGCAATCCCGCCTTTGGCTGTTTTTGGAGGGCACCCGGGTCACTCGTCGGTTGATCAAGCAGCTGTGTGGGAGTCTGAGCTTTGCCGTGCTGGTGTACCTGTCAGGTTGGATCTGACATTGGCAGCTGTTTTAGTTCCTTCAGGGACATATCTTTCGCCACTCTCGCAATCGCTGGTTTCGGACCCCGGGAGCCTTGTGTCAGCTGCTGCATCGCTGGCTTCCTCTTCGGGTTTTTCGGAGTTCAGTGCTTACTCAACGCTAACCCCGAGCCCTTGCTTGATGTGTTCACAGATGCCTCGTCTCTCGGCTGGGGCTTTGTGACCAGTGCTCACCAGGCCGGCCAGGGTCGGTGGGGTCCGTCCTTCCGTCGGGTTCACAGCATGGTGCGGGAGTTCATAGCGGTGTGGTATTAACTTCAGAGGGTTAATCGCTCGCGGATCGACGATCCGGCTCCATTTGGAGTGCTTCCCTGAGGTTCATTGTCTGAACCACAGGGGTTCGATGCGGTCCTTGGCTCTTTGGGGCTGGTCGCTTCGGGTGACTCGTCTGTTGAGTTCTTGGGGTTTGGCTCTCCTGGCGGTTCATGTCCAGGGAGTGTCCAACGTCCTGGTGGATGGCCTGTTCTGTTTCATTCCCCTGTCCACGGAATGGAAGGTTGACGCTGACTCGTTCTGTTGGCTCTGCTGGACGTTCGGGCAGCCGGACGTGGACCTCTTCACGTTGGCTTGGTCAAGGCATCTTACGGTATATTCGGCACCCTTCCCCGACTGCGTGGCCATCGGGGTTGATGCATTTCGACTGGACTGGTCGAGGTGGGGTTATCCGTACCTCTTCCCACCAGTTCAGTTGTTGCTCCAAATCCTGGAGACTTACCAGGGGGAGGGTAGTTCTATTGGCCCCTTGGTGACTAGCCTAGCCATGGTTTTAGGCACTGCTTGCTCGGTGTTCGAACCTAAGGGTTTTCCTGCAGTTCCGCCTCTTTCAGCAGATCGGTCCAATTCGGTACATAGTTCGTTCAATCTTCTCCTCTGCTCTTCGCGTCTGGTCTTTTTGACGCGGGTTTATCACCACTTACATGGTGAGTAGGTGGCTTCGTTGATGGTGTCCCACCTGTGAGTTTCATCTCGGCGGCAGTACAAAGTTTCCTGACAGTCCTTTCGGCATTTCTTGACTCTTCGTAGGTTGTCTTCGATTTCTGATCGGGTTGTTTTGTCCTTTCTCTCTTGGTTGTTTCAGGATCATCATCTTATGCCAAATACTGTCGCCTCATATCATGCGGCGCTGGCGGAGCCGCTGCAGCTTGCATTCGGGGTGGATGTCACTTCTGCTCCATTCTGCAAGCTTTTTCAGGCATTGTTTTACCTCCGGCCTGCTCATGCACCGCCTGAGCCGTCCTGGTTGTTGGACTGGGTGCTCTCTTTTCTATCTTCTCCTCAGTTTGTGGTGGCCCCCCCCCCCTCGTTTCAGGACTGTTTTTCTAAGGCTCTTTTCTTGTTGGCATTGGTCTCTGGGGGTTGGGTCGGGGAGCTTCATGCACTCCTCCGGCGCAGGGGTTTCTGCTCTTTCGCTCCTGGTGGTCGTTTCGTTCATTTGCAGCCTTTTCCTTTTCTGGTGAAGAAGGGGTCCTTGGGTTGTTGATGCTTGGTTGGTTCGGCCGTGGGTGCATCATGTTTTGTGTCCCGTTACGGCTCTTCGCCATTATTTGTGTGCCACAGCCTCCGTGGCAGGTGACACGCTGTGGGTGGACCCGGTTTCCCTTCTTCCCTGTTCCAGGGCGCTGATCTCCCAGGTCATCTGCAGGATTATTCGGTCCAGCCAGCCTGCTGTATATCCCCGTGCCCACGACGTTCGTAAGTTTGCAGCTTTGGCTGCTGTTTTGGGGAATATGTCCTGGGCTGACATTCAGGCACGGGGCTTTTGGAGGTCGAACAGGATCCTGGCCGCATGGTATCTCGTTAATGTTCCTGGCACTTCTCGGGTGTGTGTAGCCTTGGGTCGCAGGTTGCAGCCAGTTGTCTCGACTTCGAGTTGAGGAGCGAGTGACGGCCGCCTCCCGGGTAAGTCCCTCTTTTCCTTTATCTTTGGTTAGGTAGCTCTGGGGAGCCGAAGGGGCTCTCCACAGAAAACCAGCATTGAATGTAATGAAACGCCATTTTCTGGGTGAGACCCGGAGGCTCCCCGGCATCCCTCCCTCCCTCCGGTCGGTTTTTTTTTTTTTTTGCATTTTTGATATTCAGCCTCTGAACTGAGGTTGAGTAGCCGGCATGGGAGGTCTGGGACCCCCCTGTCCCCCTCCTGGGGAGGGGGGGGTGAGTTGCGCAGACAGTGGCGCGGCATCTGTGGTGACGTCATGCTTGTTTCCTTGTATTTGATTGGGGAGTTCTGTTTGCTAGTTTGGCTTTCTGTTCGCAATTTTTAACCAGATGTAGTTTGTTTTGGAATTCCTACCTTTCTGGGTGCCTGACCTGGTAGATGGCAGACACAGACTGCTTCCAATTACACGAGGGTGTCTTTAGGCCATTGCTCCTCGTGCCTCACTTAAGGGGGGCCAGGTTCTGGCTCTGGTCCCCGGTAAGCCTAAAACTCCTTCGATTGACTGTTGCCATGGTCTACTATATGCACATCAGCCCGGTATAGCTCTGGGGAGCCTCTGGGTCTCAGCCTGAAAATGGCGTTTCATTACATTCAACGCTGTTTTTTTTTTATACACTTATTTTGTCCAGGTCATCTTGAAGGGCATGACAATCATTTAAGTTTCTTATCTTCCCTATTATCTTAGCATCATCAGCAAACATGTTCATATACCAGTAATTCTGTATTCCAGCTGGTAGATCGTTTATGTAGACAATGAACATTACCACTCCCGCATGAACATGTGGTGCTCCCTTCATGCTGGTAAATGCCCATTTGTTTCCTGCTCCATGGGTAGTTAGTTTCTGGGAGCCACAAGGGGCTTCCCTCAAAAAACCAGCATTGAATGTAATGAAATGACAATTTCTGGGTGAGCCTTTGTGTATCCCTGACTCGCTCACTCCCTCAGGGAGTCTGGTCTGTTACATCTTTCATCAAACTGATAGTGGGGTGGCTTGCGAGCCATAGCCTGCCCCCCCTCCCCCCAAATGAGTGGGAAGGGTGGAACGAGTGAGCGGGTTCTAGTTTTATGATATTTTTTATTGTTTACATAATTTAGAGAGTTATATGGTCTTTTTCGAGGCTGCAGGTTTTGGAGGCGGCCAGCTGTGGTTTTTGACTTGCTGACTTTTCTGGATGCCATCCTCAGTGGTGGCATAAATGAATAACTTAATATATAAATGCCTTGGTTCCCTGTTCCTCTGTGAAGGGCCAGGTTCTGGCTTTTGGTCCCCAGTAGGCCAGGGAACTCCGCAACTGATGGTACCTAGTAGCTGGCACTTATATCGGAAATTGTAGCTTCAGGGAACCACCAGGGCTCACCCAGAAATTGCCATTTTATTACATTCAATGCTGGTTTTATAGAAGCTTATGTCTGTGGTTTTGGGCTTCCATGGAGCTTTATGACCACAGTGGTACCTCGGAATGCGATTGTTCCTGTATGCGAGGTTTTCGGAAGGCGAGGTGTATTTACTCCAAAAATTTGTCTCGGAAGGCGATGGTTACTTCGGGAGGCGAGTTTGGACGCGAGTTTGTTGATACGCGTACAGCCGACCTAGCGCGTGGTGGTTCGGCGATCGTCGCCCCTCCGCCCCTCAGTTTATTATTGTCTCGCGCTCAGTGACTACCCCCACATCAATTCTTCTCGTGGATTTTCAGTGTTTTGTTAGATTTTTGGTGATTTGTGTATACAATTTGTTATTATATATCTCACCATGGGTCCCAAGAAAGCCAGTGGTAAGGATAAAGGCCAGAAAGCTCATGTGAGGATGACAATAGAGGAGAAACAAGAGATCATTCGGAAGCATGAGAACGGTACACGTGTTGTTGAACTTTGTAGGCAGTACAACAAAGCCACATCAACAATATGCACTATACTTAAGAAGAAAAATAAGATTATGGGTGCTAAAGTGGCAAAAGGAGTAAGAACATTAACGGCACAAAGACCACAAATACTTGAAGAAGTGGAAAAGTTGTTATTAATTTGGATACACGACAAGGAGTTGAGGGGTGATAGTGTTTCGGAGGCCATTATTTGTGAGAAAGCCAGGGTGTTGCACGAAGACCTTCTAAAGAATACCCCTGCAACGAGTGATGCAGATAAGAAAGAGTTTAAGGCAAGCAGGGGCTGGTTTGAAAAATTTAGAAAGAGAAGTGGTATCCATAGTGTTACAAGGCATGGGGTTATGTGATGTGATTATGGAAGGGGACTCCCCTTCCAAACAGTAACTCCTCTCCTCCTCCCCCCTCCTCACCATCTTCCATACGCCTACAGCACTCGACAGCAAGGTAAGTAATAACTGGAACACAGTTTTGTAGGTTTATTTAGATGAATTAGGTAAATTAGGTATAAAAATTTAGTTTGATGTGGGGTTTTTGGGGTAGTCAGGAACGGATTAATTCATTTCCCTTTATTTCTTATGGGGAAATTAACTTCAGAATGCGAGTTTTCGGAAGGCGAGGCGTCTCCAGGAACGGATTAAACTCTTATTCTGAGGTATGCCTGTATTATTTTCTATTCAAAGACATTTTTGTCTGATATTTGTTGGAAAAGTGACTGTAATTTTTTGTACTGTAAAGTTAGAAAAAACATACATTGGCAATACTGGCATTTGAGCAAGATATGCTGAATTCTCATTTAATTTACATATACAGTATAAAACAACAAAACAAATATTGGTATTTTTCATCCAGGGTAAAGTAAGTAACTATTTATAAATTAATATAAACTTCCCAGATTATCATAGCTCTTTCTCCTGTCAGCACTCCTTGAATGGCAAGCTTAAGCTTCAAATCAAAGGAGGCAGAACAAAGTCCGAAGGCCGTGTGGAAGTACAGCTGCCCGGTACAGATACCTGGGGCCTTCTCTGTGGTGATGGCTGGGGTTTATTTGAGGGTATGGTTGTATGTCGCCAGCTGGGGCTAAATTATGCCCAGGGAGCCGTATCCACAGGTATGTTGAGCATATTTTCATGCATTATATTCTTACTTTCAAACATTACCTTGCAGCAAATTGATGAAGGAAAAGTACCTTGGAGTTACAATCCATCATTCAAAGAAAGTTACACAATAAGTGGGAGCAGCAGTAAAAAAAAGTTAACCAAACCCTAGGAATAATCAAGTATATCTTTCGCTTTAACCCTTCCAGTGTGCAAATCATATATGATTTTGGTCTGACTGACTGCAGTGCTGATATCATATACAGTATATATATACTGTACTGTATATATATGTTTTAGAGATTTTTGGGTGATTTAACCCTTTAACTGCGCAACACGCCTGCAGGCCCACGTCTGGGGTGTGCTACGCGCCTCCGGGTATTTGTATTTTTCACATTCCATTCAAAGCTCCCGCGGCAACATGCGGTTCATATCAGCTTCCTCAGGGCTCTTGTAAACAGATGCCATCTTTAAAAAAAATCGTGGTCCACATTCCCGAGTGTGAGAGCCTCAGTAGTGAGTCAGCAACCAAGGCTGGCGCTCGCAGCATGAGTGCGCAGCACTGCTGTTCAGTGTGTAACCACAGCATTGCCTAATAATGTCAAAATATATATATAACTTGTATTATTTAGCCATGATAGTATTATAGAAGAGCCTGAGTGTGATAATGACTGGGTACAATATTCAAATATCAGTAATTCAATGCTGTTCACGATGTTCACAACGCTAGCCACAGCACCACAGCATTAATTTGTCCATCTAGGAATCTTCAAATGACTTCTTAGGTTCCTTTTCAAAATAAACTTGTGGTCAGTTATTCATTTACATGAATTAGTGACCAGGATTGTGATAATAGCAGGATTGTGGTTGTAATTAGCATTGTGCGTAGTATTGTGGAAGGAGGAATTTTGGTGAGGGAGGGAGGAAGGGAGAGAATTGAGGTAGCCTCACTGTGTGTGGCAGCCACTCTTATTTTGCTCACCATACTAGCTTAGTGGTTCGCTATTGGGAACACATATGTACATGGGTATATTCAGTGTGTGTGTATATAGTGTAATAACAGCAACAGGAGTATGTTGAGAGGAGCTATTTTGGTGAGGGAGGTGACGTCGTAATCGTAGCATCGTCTGCTGTCTGCTTTGTGATTTCTCATGCAGTGTATGGTGGCCACCTTACTGTTTGGACACAATACCGGCTTACTTGCATAGTTCTGGTAAATAAAACATGTAGAGATGTATATATAACATATATACTATAGCATCGCTAGAAAATGCTATTATTTAGCGATAATAGTACTGTATTATAGAAGAGCTTGACTGTGATAAAGACTGCGTACAGTGTTCAGATATCAGTGGACACAATGGTGTTCATGATGTTCAGTGCTAGGCAGGCAGTCGAAGCACTCTATCATTGTTTGGTCCATCTAAGCATCTTGAAATGCCTTCATATGTCCCTTTACAAAATAAACTAGTAAAAAATTATTAATTTAAAAGATTTAGTGACTAGGATTCTGATAATAGCACCATTGTGCCGAGAATTAGCGATGTGCATAGTATTTTGGGAGGAGAAGTCTTGCTGAGGTGAGGTAGCAGCTGGAGTCTTATAAGGGAAGAGTGATTCTTCTGGCTCCTTGGTGACCAGCACAAATCAATCAACAAGCTCACACTAACTTAAGCAGTCCCTGTGGTGCAGTGGTAAGACACTCGCCTGGCGCTTCGCGAGCACTTTGGCCTGGGTTCATATCCTGGCTGGATATGATTGACTGGGTGCCAATCCTTAACTGTAGCCTCTGTTCACCCAGCAGTGAATGGGTACCTGATTGTTAAACGATTTTGCGGGTCATATTCTAGGGAAAATTGGGATTAAGAACCTGCCCAAAATGCTATGCATGCTATTGGCTTTACAAGAATGTAAGAACTCTTGTACATTATAAATAAATAAATAAATAAATAAAAATAAATAAATAAAACTAAACATAGGAAAGACTTACTACATTTTATTTGGTAGTAAATCATCGAATTCAACTTCAGATAGACAATGTTAACATTACCATCCAGGAGTCATGGATGCGCGACCCCTGGGTCCCCTCTTTCCTTGTGCGTGTTTTAGGGTCGCTTGCCCCCTTGTCTCAGGGCGACGCTCATTGTTTTTGCCTCCATCATGCTGCCTGTGGGTCGGTGACATATTCGACCCAGAGTCCTGCGAACTTTGTTGCCTGTTTGTGACTCAGTTCACCCAGTCTGACGATATTATTTGGGTGCAGGCGGCTCGTGGGTTGCAAGATAGGTTTAGGTTGTTGCAGCATGCTTGTTTGGCTGCTTCCCTGGATGCCCTGAAGCTGCCCCCACTTTGATTATAAGGATTCGGACTTGGGTGTTGGTCGCTTTGGCCTTGGTTCAGTCCGCACCCCCTCTGCCTTTCCCTGCTGTGGTTCAACCCCCCCCTCTCCCCCCCCTTAGTCCCTTTCTCTGCTTACTGGTGTGGGATGGCTCGGAGTGGCGCCACCTCCTCCTCGCAACTCTGGACATAATCCACTAGCGATGTTCCCGGAATATTGCACGGCTCAGCTGTGTCATGACACTATAGTGTCATAGCAACACTGTCATCAGCAACACTGGATGACAGCGACACTGTCATCCAGGCGCTGGTTCTCGATTTTTGGATGAGTATTGGGTATTGTTTGCAATGCTATTTGGACACTCATTCATTGACTCAGTCAATGCTATCTGGACACTCATTCATTGACTCAGTCAGTGCTATCTGGACACTCATTCATTGCCTCAGTCAATGCTATCTTGACATTTATGCATTGCCTCAGTCAATGTTCTCTGGACACAAATTCGTTGACTCAGTCAATGCTCTCTGGACACAAATTCGTTAACTCAGTCAATGCTCTCTGGACACTCATTCATTGACTCAGTCAATGCTTTCTGGACACTCATTCATTGACCGTTGTTCAGTGCCTGGCTGCATCCTTATATATACATTGGAGTGTTTGTATATATACTTGTTCGTGTATATTCCATTACCATTTTCTTCCTAAGTCTTTCTTCCCCTATTCTGGTGAAAATTGCAACCAAAAGCCGAACGAGTGGATAGAACTCCCCAAACAAAAACGAGCAAACTAGTATGACGTCACCCGTCGTCACGCCGTTGTCTGTGCAACTCCCCCCTACCCGAGAGGGGAAAGGGGGAGCCCCAGACCCACCACGCCGGCAATCCACACCCCCATTTCTTGAGGCTTATGCTATCGGCTTGTGTGCTCTGGCTCCGGTCTTTTTGCGGCACTGTGCCTTGTGTGTAGCGGCTGTCCTCCGGGGGTGTGAGAGCCAGGAGTTATTCCTCAGTACTCATGCTGCATGCTCCTAGGGTTTCCTTCCCTAGGTGCCCTGTAAGTTCTGCCCTTGGAGCATGGGGTTACCTTCCACAAGTTTCCTTGGGGTCTGCCTCTGTGGGGTCCGTTTAACTACTCGGTTTTTCGACCACCCTTTGGGTACTTGGGTGTTTTGTCTCCCTCGTTTACCTTAGGGTAAGAGGCAGTTTTTTCCACTGGTAAGGGGCACAGGGTGCTGCGCAGCTTGTTGTCACCTATCACAGCAGCCCGCTCTGTTCCTTGGGGCACGTTATCCTCTTGCAGGGTTTTGTTTTTGTTTTTGTTTTTGCCTTGGTAGGGGGGATTCTGCCCTACTTGCCACTGGGGTTGGCCTCATCCTGATACTTGGTGGTGCCCCCTGCTTGGTCCCCGTGAGTGTACACGTCCCTGGGGTTCAGCTGTAGACAGTTTGGTAGTTTTGAGTGCCGGTTAGCAATACCCTGCCTGGGTTTACATGACTGCGAATCTTCTTCAAGTAAACGCTCAGGATCATGGGAATCCCCCTAGGGGACGCGTGGGTCCAATGGATGTGACCCCTGAGTCCACCCTCGCTTCATGCGAGTTTGAGGGTTGTTCGGTCCCCTTGTCTCAGGGTGACCCTCACTGTTTTTGCCTCCATCACACAGCCTGTTGGGTCGGTGACACTTTCGACCCGGAGTCCTGTGAGTTTTGCTGCTTGCTGGTGACTCAATTTACCCAATCTGTGGATGATCATCTTCGGGTACAGGCTGCACAGGTCTTGCATTCTAGATTTCATTTGTTGCAATGCGCTTGGTTGGTTGCTCACCTAGATGCCCCATGGCTGACCTGTTTTGCCTATAGGGACGCGGACTTGGGGGGTGGTGGTCGCTTCGACCCTGGTTCAGTCCACACCTCCTCATCCTTCCCCCTCCTGTTGTTTGTTCTGGTTCCCCTTCCCTGCTTCTGGCCCCAAAACATCTGAGGGTTTCGGAGTCAGGGCAGGGGTTGGTTGGTCTTGAGACCGGGCAGCCTCGGGGGATGCCCCTTCCGGTGTGGTGACGGAGGCATTCGAGTCTACTCCCCCTGGCCTCCTTCTTTCCGGCTTCTACGGCTGTGACAGGCTTGTCTGGTGGGGTCAGTGCTTGGGGGGAGGACTTGGCCCCGGGTCCTGCAGAGGAGGACCCTGGGGCTGGGGAGGGGCCGACTTAGGGGCCTTGGGCCCCGCTGGATCCCCCCCTGGGTTTTTCTGCCCTCTGAGCGCAGGGCTTACTGTTACAAGGAGTGGGGTTTTGTTTTCCCCCTCTGCATACAAGTTGGACTTGGTGTCTGCCCCTTCCCTGATTCAGTTCCGTGTTTTCCCGGGTGCTTCAGTTCTGTCTTTCCAGAGGTTTTCGGCTTATCGCATCCAACCTGCTGCGTGCGGGCGGCCCTTGCGGCAAACCTCCTGCGTGACCCAGATTATGCCTCGGCAATGGATTCTTCGACTTTCAGGTTTGGGACTTTGTTCCCTTTCTGGCTCCGTTACGAGGTTCCGGAGTCGTCCTGGTTGGCGGACTGTCCTGTCTTTACCTTGGATTCCTGACACTCCTTCTGCCTTTCCCGCATGCTTGAGTGGCGGGAGGTTTCGACGGTGCTGCACGTTTTCCTGGGGGGGCGACCTTGAGCACCTCAATGAGTGCTTGCTTGCTCTTGCCCTTTCCCGAGGTGTTGGTGTCGTTCAGCTCCATGTGCAGGTTCCCTCCTTTTCGGCGGTGCAGGTGGCTGAGGACTTGCGCGCTTGGGCCTTTTGGTTGCAGCCTTGCATTTCTTTTCCCTCCTGGAGCTGTCTTCCGACTGGCTCACGGAGGATGTGGGGGGCTCTTGGGGCTGTTCCTGGTTCTGGTGCCTTGTCCTCGGCGACTTGCTCATCGGCTGCCTTGCTGAAACTTTTCTTGCCGATCTTGCAGGATGCGGTTGCTCTGTTTTATGCTTCCCGGCTCGTGTGTCGGCAGATTGTGCTTGCCTCCTCTGTGGAATCTGCTTGGGCCTTGGCTCTTAGGATGTCTTCACCTTTTTGTCCTCTCCTGTTTGAGGCTTCCGCCGTTGTGCAGTATATTTAGGCTGCTTCGGCTTCTTGCCGTCCTATGTCGGACTTGCTGGTTCTCTGGGAGTCCCGTGGTGGGCCTTCCTGGAAGGGTTATGCCAAGACTCGGGGTTCCTCTCGTCGTGGTAGGCCACTGGTGTCAGGTTCAGGTTCAGCCTCTCCTTCGGACCCGCCTTCGTCTGGTTGGCGCAGTGTTCGCTCTGTGCGAGGTTCTGGGTCTCGTAAGGGGCACCGTCCCCTTTCACGGTTCACCCCATTGATGGGGTGATGGAGAGGGAGGCTTGCGCTGTTCGCTCACGCCTGGTCCCATGATTCGTGGGCATTTCGGGTCGTTTCACGCAGCCTCCGGTGGCGTTGGGTGGCCCCCCTCTTGCCTCTTGCTTGTTCATGGCTGGCGGGGCAGGCTTCTTCCCCTGTGCTCTGTCAGGTCGTCTTGGAATAGGTTCGCTTGGATGTGGTCAAAACGATGACGTCCCTCAGATGGATTTTCCGTCTGTTTCCAGTCCCGAAATGGGACTGTGCGGACCTGCGGTTCATTCTGGACTTGTCCCGTCTGAACCCCTGGGTTCATTGCCCCTCCTTTCGGATGACCACACTGTCCCAGGTTCGGTGCTTGGATGGTGTCCCTGGGCGTCCGGGACACTTATTGGCACTTCCCGATTCATCCTGGGTTCAGGGACTGGCTCGGTTTTGTTGTGGGGCTTCGTGTTTACCGCTTTCGTTGTCTCCCGTTCGGGTTGAACCCTGGCACCTCGCGTTTTCACATGCCTTACGCGGGTCGTGGTGACCCGTCTGCATCTTTTAGGTATTCGGGTGTTGGCCTACCTCGACGTCTGGCTGGTTTGGGCTCCCAGCTAGTCCGCTTTTCTTGCCCGCGAATCGTGTTCAGGTTCTTGGTGAACTGGAGGAAGTCCCATCTGGTTCCCTCCCAGGTTCGGACATGGCTGGGCCTTGTGTGGGAATCTCGGACCGCTTCCTTGTCTCTTCCTCCGGAGTCTCTCTTGCAGCTGCAGTCTCGCATGCGCCTGTTTCTGGGAGCTCTCGGGTCACTCGGCGGTTGTTCGAGGGTCTGTGCGGGAGCCTGAACTTCGCGATGCTGGTCTACCCGCCGGGTTGGGTTTGGCTTCGTCAGCTGTTCTGGTTCCTTCGGGGATGTCCCTTCCACCTCTCTAGCGATCATTGGGTTCGGACCCCAGGAGCTTTGCGTCGACTGCTACGTCGCAGGCTTCTTCTTCGGGTTTTTCAGGGTTCTGTGCCTTGGCACCTACCCGAGCCCTCGCTCGATGTGTTCACGGATGTGTCGTTTCTTGGCTGGGGCTTTGTGACCAATGCTCACCAGGCTGGCCAGGGATGGTAAGGTTCGTCCTTCCGTCGAGCCCACAGCACTGTGCGGGAGTTTGCAGCGGTGTGGTTTGCTCTTGGGAGGCTTTGAGTCGCCCGCGGGTTGACGATCCGGCTCCATTCGGACTGCTCCTTGTTAGTTCATTGTCTGAACCGGGAGGGTTCAATGCGGTCCTTCGCTCTTTGACGCTGGTCCGTTTGGGTGACTCGTCTGCTGAGTTCTCAGGGTTTGGCTCTCCTGTCAGTTTACGTGCGAGGAGTGTCCGACATCCTGTCTCGTTTCGTTCCCCTCTCCACGGAATGGACGGTCGACGCTGACTCCTTCCGTTGGACACAGAAATCCAATAGGGTGATGCATCAAATGAACAAATCCACAAGGGCCATGATGAGCATGATCTCGGACGTAGGTTCGAATCCTCATCATGGCCCTTGTGGATTTGTTCCTTCTGTTGGATTTGCCAGAAATTCGGACGCGTTGAGGTGGACTTCTTCGCGTCAGCATGGTTGCGGCGCGATCCTCTGTATATGGCGCCCTTTCCCGACTGCGAGGCCATCAGGGTCAACGCCTTTCGGCAGGACTGGTCGAGGTGGGGGTTCCTGTACCTCTTTTCCCCGGTTCAGCTGTTTCTCCAGGTCCTGACTCGCTTGGAGACTTACCAGAGGAGAGTTGTTCTCTTGGCCCCTTGGTGGCTGGCCCAGCCGTGGTTTCAGGCGCTGCTTGTTCAGTGTCCGATATTGAATGAGCAGATACAGAATGCTCTAAATCCCATGTGCAATTCTATAGGCCATTGCTCATTGTGGCTCTCTGAGAGGGGCCAGATTATGGCTCGTGGTCCCCGATAAGCCGAGAACTTCATTCACACTGACTGATGCCAAAGTTTAGGAATATACATATCAGCCTGGATAGCTCCAGGACTCGCCCAGAAAATGGCTTTTCATTACATTCAACTCTGTTTTTTTTTGTCTTTCTGTCAGGTTACTTTGGAGGCAATAAGTCTGATGTTATCATTAGTGGGATCAAGTGTACCGGTAATGAAGACAGACTAGACCAATGCCTGCATGATGGGATTGGGGAGGTGTTTTGCCCAGACCCCAGTTCAGACCCCAATATTGCTGGGGTCACTTGTGTCGACAGTGAGTATTAATTTGTTGATTTAAGTTCAGATTTGTAATAATGGTCAAACTCGTGTTCTTTAAACTGCTTAAATTAAAATTTTGCCTTGTAAGTGAATATAATTTATGTTATCAGTATAGTTTTGGATAATGCCAGGTATCAGTATCTCAGGATGTGGACACAATACATGCTAGTAGGTTGGAAATGGTTACTCTGGACAAAATACATGCTAGAGGATTAGAAACATTGTTACTTTGGACAGAATGTTCTGGAAAGTTGAGAACATTGTTTTTTGGACAGAATTCATGCTAGAATATTGGGAACATTGTTACTCTGGATATAATGCATGCTAGAAGCTTGAGAATATTGTTACTGTGTTTCAGGTATAACTAATTTATAGTTAACTGAATAAATAGTCAATTTAAAGTACAAAGTTTTCTTAGTAATTACATTTACTGTACTTGAAATTAATTCTTCACTAACTGAAACCAGAAATGGCTGACCTGGTTCCTGACCACCTCGAGTTAGCAAGATCAGCGCACCTGGAAGACAAGCAGCTCTTCTTCCTTCAGTGTGCTATGGAGGAGAATTGTCTTTCTGGTTCTGCCACTAAAGCTCAAGTATGTTATTATTCTCACATGTTGACTGAAAGTCTGAAATGTTTTAGTGTCACACACATCCACCAGACAATGGTTAAGCAAATGCCTCTGTTAACCTAGCAATAAATAGGTATCTGGGAATTAGGCAGCTGTTGTGAGATTCATTCCGGGTAAGGTTATTTGGGACTTAGTACAGGCTTTCTATCCTTGACAACAGTAAATATAAGCATTTCTTAACTAAAAGACTATTTTTAAAGTCAGGCATGAACTAAAGCATATTTTTGAGAACATAAAATGTGGTATGATACGTATTATGCTGTAGTCAATTATCACATACTATTTGTAATTTATAATGTTACCCAGGATGGTGGCTATGGATGGCACCTTGAGACACGTCGTCTTCTGCGCTTTACAGCCCGCATTGTGAACCAGGGTGATGAAGCCTTCCGTCCCTTCCTTCCCAAGCAGTACTGGGAATGGCATGCCTGTCATATGTGAGTTGGTGCATGACTTGTATGATATTAGGAATGATAGGGGCTAAGTAGAGTTGACTGGAGATAATTGGGATTAAGTAGAACTTGGCTGGAGATGATAGGGACTAAGTAGAGTTTCTTCTTCTTTTTCGCAATATGTGCAGTTTGCATGAAGGTTCTTCTTCCCGACGACTGCACGGGTGGTACTGTAGAAAGATACGGCACTCACAGCGGCGCATGAAGGGTCACGATGAGACAAAAGTGGGAAGATATCGACGTCTTCTATGTGGGGTGAGGATAAAGACAATATATAAACACATGACTGGAAAGGGACTCAGAACGGGAAAGATAAGTAGTTGCAAGAAAGGCGAAAGCAAATCATCGTTGTACTATGGAAAGTGTGGGATGTAGGCAAGAGATGGAGGGTGGGAGGTGAAGGATATGTTGGAGGCAGTCACTAATCAGATATGAGAAAAGAAGGGAAGTGTGAGAACATGAGGGTACAGGTGGTGAATGTGTATAAGAATAGGGTATGTCAGGTTATGTAGACAGATTCCAGAGCTTTACATCTGGGACGCAATCTCATCGGTCTTCTTAAATGTGCCAGCAAGACAGCGAGAGGAAGACCTAGGAGTGGGGTGAGGAGAAGTCGGGGAAGAGTGTGGTTTATAAGGTCTGTCAGGCCTTGCTGTCTCCAAAACGTTTGAACTGATGCTGGAAAAGGCCTTCAATAACTCCTTGGTGTGCCTTACCCGAGACCCTGCCCAGGCTGACTTGCTGCAAATCCTTACCCGGTACTAAGAGGAAGCAGTCCTCAGTTGTCCCGACTTCCAAATGCCCTGCTACTTTCCCTGACAGACCCCATAAACCACACTCTCTGGTGACTTACCTCACCCCACTCCTAGGTCTTCCTCTCGCTGTCTTGCTGGCAGGACAATGAGCGGCAAGTGCCCTGCCCAAGAAGCAGGGCACTTGGAAATTGGGACAACTGAGGACTGCTTCCTCTTAGTACTGGGGGGTAGGGATTTGCAGCAAGTCGATCCCGGGCGCCGGCAAGAAACAATGGGCAGAGTTTCTTTCACCCTGATGGTCTGTTACGTAGCAGTAAATAGGTACCTGGGAGTTAGTCAGCTGTCACGCGCTGCTTCCTGGGGGTGGAGGCCTGGTCGAGGATCGGGCCATGGGGACACTAAGCCCCGAAATCATCTCAAGATAACCTCAAGAAGTCAACAGATGGTGTTGTCTGCGTCTCACTTAATGCCTTGGAGTTGAAATGCAGGTCTATAGATGGCGCCGAAATCCACACTCCTCACTCCAGCTACGGTGTTGATACCGTAACAATGAGCTAACAGCACTGCTGTTCAGCTTATGACCACAGCATCGTCTAAAAATGTCAAAATAGGTGAAGGTGAAACTATTCCTGAGAAAGCTTGTGGAACAGTGACATCCACCCCGAATGCAAGCTACAGCAGTTCTGCCAGCTCCCCACAATACGAGGCAACAGTACTGTAGACACCCACTAATCCGGAATCTGCCTATCCAGAAAATGCCTTAATCCGGCCAAAATTGTAGCTGGATAAAGTTATCTCTCCATCCATCCAAAATTTCCATGGAAGCCGGACTAGTCGATGTATGGCTGGAGCCGTCCTGGTTGTTGGACCGGTTGCTCTCTTTTTCTCTCTTCTTCTTGGTTTGTGATGGCCCCCTAGGTTCAGGACTGTTTTTTAAGGCTCCTTTCTGGTTGGCATTGGCCTTTGGGGGTCGGGTCAGGAAGTTTTATGCTTTCCTCTGGTGCAAGAGTTTCTGCTCTTTCGGTCCTGGTGGTCGTTTTGTTCGTTTGCAGCCGTCTCCTTTTCTGGCGAAGAATGAGTCTGCTGATTTCCGAAGGGGTCCTTGGGTTGTTGATGCTTGGTTGGTTTGGCCGGGAGTGCATCATGTTTTGTATCCGGTTGCAGGTTTTTACCGTTATTTGCATGCCATGGCCTCCGTGGCAGGGGACGCGCTTTGAGTGGACCCGGTTTCCCTGTTCCAGGGCGTGGGTATCACAGGTCGTCCACAGGATTATTCAGTCCAGTCAGCCTGCGGTCTATCCCCATGCCAGTGACGTTCATAAGTTTGCAGCTTTGGTTGCTGTTTTCGTTAATATGACCTGGGCTGACATTTGGGCACGGGGCTTTTGGAGGTCGAGCAGGGTCCTGGCTGCATGGTACATCATTAATGTTCCTGGCCCTTCTCGGGCGTACGTAGCTTTGCACAACAGGTTGCAGCCAGTTGTGTCAACTTCAAGTTGAAGAGCGAGTGCTGGTCACGTCCCGGGTAAGTCTCTTTTTTTCTTCTTCATCTTTGGTTAGATAGCTCCGGGGAGCCGAAGAGGCACTCCACAGAAAACCAGGGTTGAATGTAATGAAACTTCCTTCTGGGTGAGACCCGGAGGCTCCCTGGCATCCATCCCTCCCTCCCTCTCTCTCTCCCTTCCTTCTGATCGGCATTTTTTTCGCGTTTTTGATATTCAGCCTCTGAACTGAGGAGAGTAGCCGGTGAAGAGGTCTGGCACCCTCCCATCCTCCTCCCGGGGAGAGGGGGAGAGGTTGCGCAGACAGATGATGTCTGCACAACAAAACAAGCATGACGTTACCACAACGTGGCGGTTGTGGTGACGTCATGCTTGTTTTTGATTGGGGAGTTCTGCTTGCTAGTTCAGCTTTAGATTTGCAATTTTTGACCAGCAGTAGTTTGTTTTGGAATTCCTACCTTTCTGGGTGCCTGATCTGGTAGATGACAGACAAAGACTGCTTCCAATTACATGGGAGTGTCTTTTGGCCATTGCTCCTTGTGCCTCTTCTTAAAGGGGGGCCAGGTTCTGGCTCTGGTTCCCAGTAGGCCTAGAACTCCATCGATTGACTGTTGCCATGGTCTAATATATGCACATCAGCTCGGTATAGCTCCAGGGAGCCTCCGGGTCTCACCTAGAAAATGGCGTTTCATTACATTCAATTCTGTTTTTTTATCTTACAGGCACTACCACAGCATGGAGGTGTTTGCCCATTATGACATTATTGACTCTGAGGGCCACCGAGTTGCAGAAGGCCACAAAGCATCATTTTGCTTGGAGGACAACAACTGCATGCCAGGTGTTGAACCGGTCTTCAAGTGTGCCAATTATGGGGACCAGGGAATCAGCCCGGGATGTACTGACACATATGCTTATAACATTGACTGCCAGTGGATTGACATTACTGATATAAAGCCCGGAACATATACATTTAAGGTAAGGATTTGATATTCTTGTTCATAAGTACCAAACAACATATACTAACTGCATTGATTTATCTTAACCCTCAACATGTGGCTGCCATCAATATTGTCACCCTGTCTGTACAGACAAAAAAAAAAAAAGAAGCGTTGAATGTAATGAAACACAATTTCTGGGTGAGCCCCGGAGGCTCCCTGAAGATATTACACTGATTCAGTGTCCTCTTACTATTAAAGCTTTTCAAAATTATGATAAAGAAAAAGCTCTAGGGGTAGTTCTAAATAGAAAACTGTCACCTGAGGACCACATAAAGAACACTATGCTATGCTTTCCAGTTTCAAAATTGCTTTTAAATACATTAATGGTGAAACACTAAAGAAACTGTTCACGACTTATGTGGCACCAAAGCTGGAATATGCAGCAGTTGTATGGTGCCTTTATCTTAAGAACTGGAAAAGATGTAAAGGCATGCAAGTAAATGGTTCCTGAAACTGAAGGATAAGAGCTACGAGGTGAGTTTAGAGGCAATAAGTATGCCAAAACTTGAAGATAGAGGAAAGAGGCAATATGATCACTGCGTTCAAAACAGTTACAGGAATCGAGAAAATTGTTAAGGAAGAATTTGTGAGACTGGGAACTTCAAGAACAAGAGGTCATAAATTTAAGCTAATTAAACAAAGCTGCTGAAGCAATATAAGACACTTCACTTTTGCCAATAGAGTGGTAGACAGTTGGAACAAGTTAGGTGAGAAAGTGCTGGTGTAAGGCACACAAGTTTCTAAGCCGTACACTGCAGTACAAACTATCAAAATTCATCCTTTACTTCCTTACTTGCAGTATATGTACATTACTTTAAATCAGAAATATGGGACAATTATAAATTATAAAGAAACACCTCAAACATGAGAGTAAACACTCGTGGCCAGCACAATATTTTGAATTGGTTGGACTTAAAGAAACGAAAAAGAGTGCATGAATTATATTCATTAAAGAGACATGTGAAATGAGACATAATATAGCAGGGAATAATTTCACTCACCAGATTGACTACAGTACTCTAGTCACAGTTAGAAAACCAGTGTAAACACCCCCACATTGAAGTTGGGCACCTCTCTGCACACCCAACACACATCCTGAGCCTGTCAGGTATCACCCCTCTTTGTTCTCGTGGGGAGTATGGACGTTACTCTCACAAAAATGCACTGGAAACTTTACACACCATGTGATTTTTTTCCCTTGTTTGTGCATGTAGAGGAAAAGGAGGATACTGGGTGGAAGTATATAAAATGAATGCATCCATCCCAATTTCCTTCCTTATATCTCTTTCTCTCACATTTTAGTGTTACTTTTAAGGACTTGTTGATACATTTTACAGGATGGTTAGTATGTTCAGCATCTTTGATGGTTCTCCCGTATTAAGAATCTAGCCAACAGAGGATTATTAAAATTTGGTTTGACCCGGTTTGCATAGAGGAAATGAGGGCACAATTGTATACCATGCAATAGTGCAAGTATTTTTTTTTGTGTTGGGGAAGAAGAGGAAATTGATGGATGGAAGCGCACTTGATAGCCAATTGACTTCATTCTTCAGATTCTTTTGTGTTATCCAGTGGTGGGAAAATGTACATGCCTTGCTATTGTACATTGAGTTATTTAGTAAAAATGTTCCCAGCTAGTGTATTGAAATTTGAAGATTTGATGTAACCTTGAACAGTTACTGATTCTGGGATTATTAAGTGTGTTTATTGACACGGAAAAATTTACTTTGAAAATCATTTTTAATTTTTTTTTTTTTTTTCAGAGACGTTTTGAACTGTGTAGTCAATTTGTTAGTCATGCATTTGTATTATGAATTTTCCTTGCAGTTATGTATCATGATTAAATCAGTTAAATACAGTATGTGCTTACATTTAATCTGTGTTCCAGTTTATGTGTCATTTCTCCTGTTTTGTTAAGAGTTTGAAAATGTCTTCGTTTTCATGATACAATAGTCTCGTTTGGAGTTTTGAAGGAATTTTTCCGAGGGGAGCCCCTACGGCTCCCTGGAGCTTATCGGGCTAATGTATTTTATATTAGACTGGGACATTAGCTATGAAGTTCAGACCTACCAGGGACCATGAGCCAAAACCTGGCCCCTTTCAGAGAGGTTTCAGGGTGCAATAACCCTGGAAAACCTCCCTGTGGTTGGGGTTTTTCCTTATCTGCCATCGACCGGGCTTAGGCACCCAGAAAGGTAGGCATAACAAAATTAAACCCCACATGGTAAGAAACTAACAACAAAAACCAAACAGAGAGGTAGAACTTCCTTCAATCCCATGTAAACAAGGAAACAAGCCAACACGCAAACGTAACACACTACTGCTAATCTATGTTACATTAGACCGGGACATTAGCTATGGCGTTCAGACCTACCAGGGACCTACCAGGTTCTGGCGCCAAGCACCAGAACCTGGCCCCTTCAGAGAGGTTTCAGGGAGCAATGGCCCTGGAAAACCCCCTTGAGGTTGGGGTTTTCCTTATCTGCCATCGACTGGGGTTAGGCACCCAGAAAGGTAGGCATAACAAAACAAACACCACATGGTAAAACTAAAACAAAAAACCAAACTGAGAGGTAGAAACTCCCTACAATCCCAAGGAAATAAGAAAACATCACACTTTACTGCCACGCCGATCGTCCGCGCAGCCCTCCCCGCCTCGAGAGGGGGAGGGGGAGCCCCGGACCTACCGCGCCGGCTGCCTAGCATCAGTTCGGAAGCTAAGCTTCAACCAACGCGAGAAAAACGCCGACCAGTGGGAGGGAGGGTTGCCAGGGAGCTTCCGGGGCTCACCCAGAAAATGGCTTTTCATTACATTTAACGCTGGTCTTTTGTGGGGAGCCCCTATGGCTCCCTGGAGCTCCATACCCAAAGAGAAGGAAAAGAAAGGGCTAACCCGGGAGGCGGCCGCCACAAACTTCGCAATGCGAAGCTGAGACAACAGGCTGCAACCTGCGACCCAAGGCAACAAGAACGCACAGGAGCAGACGCGCATAAAGAATGGGCCGCCAAGAACCTGTGCGACCCTCAAATCCCTGCACCCAAAATGAGCCCTAGACGTCACCAACACAGCAGCAAAAGCTGCAAACGTCCGAACAGCACGGGCGCAAAGACAGACCGCAGGCTGGAAGACTGAAAAACTCTGCTGACGACCTGGGAGACCCGAGCCCTGAAACGGGGAACGAGGAGAACCGGATCAACCCAAAGCGCATCCCCAGACACGGTACGCAGGTAACGGCAAAAAACGCAACCGGACAACACAGGACGCACCCCTGGCCAAACCAATCAAGCATCAATAACCCAAGAACCCTTCCGGAAAGCAGCCGTCTCGACCGTCGCCAGGACGGAGAAAGGCTGCAAACGTACAAACCTACCACCAGTACCAAAGAGCAGAAACCTTAACCGAAGGGGCTACCACAAACTGAAGAGAAGATAAGAAGGCACCCTGATCAAGGACCAGGACGGCTCAAGTGACGCATGAGCAGGCCGGAGGTGAAACAAAACACGAGAAAGCGTACGAAATGGGGGAGATGTGATGTCCACCCCGAACGTAAGCCGGAGCGACTCCGCCAGCGCCACACAAAACGAGGCGACAGTAAGAAACATCAAATAACTGTAGTCCTGAAAACTCAAAAAAAGACAAGACAACCCGATGCGAAAGAGAAGACAACCTACGAAGAGCAAGAAAAAGTGCATAGAAACACCAGGAACGTCATACTGTCACCAAGATGAAGCTCGCAAGTGGGACACCATCAACAAAGCCACCTGATCACCACAGAGATGGTGATACCCACGTCAAAATACCAGATGCGAAGAGCCGAGGAGAAGGCCGAACCAGTCACGGACAGGACCGATCCGACCTGCCGAAAGAGGCGGAGCCGCGGGAAAACGCCCCGGGTTCGGACACCTATCAAGCAGCGTTTGAAAATAAAGCTGGGCCAGCCACCAAGGAACCATAAGGACTACTCTTGTGGGAATGGACTCCAACCGAGCCAGAATCCAAAGCAACTGCTGGACCGGGAGAAGAGGAATAAGTACCCCACCTCAACCAGTCCTGCCGAAAAGCATCTACCGTGAACTCCTCGTAGGTGGGAAAGGGCGCCACATAAAAAGGGGTGATGCCTAGACCACACCGATTCGAAGACGTCCATGGCCAGGAGTCCATACGTCTGGCAGAGCCAACAAAACGAGTCGGCGACGACTGGCCAATCCGCGAACAGAGGAATGAACTGAGACAGCTGACTGCCAGGATGCAGGACACACCCCAGACATGAACATCATGGTTAGCCAAACCCCGAGAATCCAGCAAACGAGCCACTCTAAGGAACGAACCCCAAAGGTCAACACCTAAGAGAAACCCTGTGATTCCAGCAAAGAATCGCCAGAGAACAGTCCGAATGGAGCTGAATGGTAGAGCACCGAGTGACCCAAACCCTCCAAAGCGCAAACCAGACAGCCATGAACTCCCTAACCGTGCTGTGAGCCCGACGGACAGACAGACACCCCACCATCCCTGGCCGACCTGGTGAGCACTGGTCACAAAGCCCCAGCCGAAAGATGACCCGTCCGTGAACACATCAAGCGAAAGCTCTGGGAGGTGCCAAGGCACGGAACCCCAAAAACCCCAAAGAGGAAGATGGTGACATAGCACCAACACAAGATCCCCGTAGGAACGAACCCAACGATTGCATGAGAGGCGAAAGGGAAGTCTCCGAAGGAACCAAACAGACGCCGAAGCCAAACCCGACCCCGCGGGCAAACCAGCACGTCGAAGTTCAGACTCCCGCACAACTGTTCGAGCAACCGCTGAGCAACCCGGGACCTTCTCATGAACAACCGAAGGCGGGACAACAGCTGCAGCAACACTTCTGGAGGGAAAGACAAGGAGCGGCCCAAGAGCCCTAAATAAGGCCCAGCCAGGTCCAAACCTGGGACGGAAACAGATGGAATGGCCTCCAGATCACCAGGAAACCAAACCCG